CCCCAAAACCCCAAAACCCCAAAACCCCTCTTTCACCAAATTTGGTTGAACTATATAATTTTTAAGCTCTAATTTTTAGCAAAACTGACTAAAATCTCTTAAGAAAAGAACGCACCAAAGTCCAAATAATTGAGAAATATCAAACCTTTACCTTCCTAAAGATAACTTATACATTTAAAAATCCGAAGCTCTCAATATCAAGGGCTAAAAATCTCTCTTGTCATAATGAAATAAGATCGATCCAATGACTACAGAACTTATCTTCCAAAATTACAGTATCTACTCTCAACCATCAAAATATTTTCAATTATCTTAGCAGGCTTAATCCCTCTGTGGGATTTAGGTATTAATGGCCATTCAGACTAAATCACGACTAAATGAGTAAGAAAGATTCTAGAGGCAAGCCTAGCACTGTAAAGACAGAGGAGACCAGTAGTAAGGAAGAAGTCAAGGTCAAAAAAGAAGTTTCAGCTCCGATTATAGTGACCCCTTCTACTGTCAAAACTGCTTTGCTCAGACTTCAACTCGAGCGCTTGAAGCTGAAATTAGCCCGTAAAAAGAAAATAACTGACCGTAAAAAGCACCAAATCACGCCTATGACTGTTGATGAAATGAAGAAGACTTCTAGGAAGGTATCCTTCAACCAAATATTTTGATATGGGGTGCTTCCTTATTACGACTACATTGACAAATGTTACCTCCTAATGAGTTGATTTACCAAAAGCTTAAGGAAATTCTGGAAAAAGTTTGAAGGTGCGATGCTATCGTCTGACAATCTTTTCAGCAGAAGACTTCTGATAATCACGGATAGTTACCTTGAAGCGGTGGATTACGACAACATTGATCAGGAATTGAGCTTCAGGAATCCCATTGGCGGCAGGGAGTTTGGTCAAAGGTTCACTCAGAGAGATGTTAATGAAGAAGAGGACAAAGAAGATTACATCCCTTACAAAGGATGCAAGTTTTCATACTATAATATTGAGCTAGTGGCTGTTAACTACAAATGAAACTACAACCTCTTCATGAAACGTCTCTTTAGCATTCTTGAGAATGGTCAGGTCTTTAGCCATCAGTATAGATACATCAAGATCACTCGATGTGTCGGATACAGGCTCACTGAAGTGCAAGAGAAGTTATTGCTCAAGCATTTTTACCAAACCTGTAAAATGAAGGATATTGATATCATGGACAATTACGAGACAAAAGATAAGATTGATTATTACCAGAACGAAGTCAGCTGTACTTTCTTCAGAAAACCCTTATTTACCGAAGGCGAAAGGGCTTCAATGGATGAGTCAGAACAACGTGACAAAGTTGGGTTCTGAGGAAACTACTTCCCACACTTCACTATTGACTTTAGGCTTTGTGAAGAGAATGAAGAAAATGTCAAAGAGCTCACGGTGAAGAAAAACTTGGCTATTCGATGACTCTCAATTAAAGGATATGATAGATTAGAGGATGATCACAATAAAGAACTCCAGAAGTTGTCATTAAAGTGAAATATGCTAAAGATATGGCCACTGGTTCCTAAATTATCCATGTCCGAGTGTCTCTCATCACTCTATTCTTCAGGTGTTAAATACCTTTGTATTGGGTACGAGTTTAAAAATGAAGCTATCAGTGCCAAAGAGACAGAAATTCAAGGAAAATTCTTTCAAAAGTTATTGATGCAGTTCTCCCAATTAAAGTATCTCGTTGTTTGGGGATTTCCTGTGACCACAGTCCTCACAGCTCTTAATCTTCATAGGAAAGTTCTAGATTGTCTGAAAATTGTAACTGGGCCTTATAGAAACTACTACTTTGATGATAAAATAGGTGAGATTCACTGACATCCAGGCAAATATGAATACAGGACAAAATCAAACGTATTTAACATTCAAGCAAGGGACTCTGTTAAAGTGTACAGAGAAGGCCCATGCACTTTCTCAGAGAAGACTACAATTAACAATGATCATTTCGTTGAACTTCTCTTCGTAAACACCATCTTTTTCAAAGGAAGTGTGAGAGTAAACAGATATCCAGGATCTAGGATGAACTCAATGACAAAGAAGCCATTCCAAAAGCCTTGATTCATCATTCCGAAGCAGAACCTCCAGAAGGTATTTATAGAGCACACAAAGGCTTTGGTTAAAGAGATCCATTTCCTTGCTTCAGTGTGCAATAAGAGGGAAAAAGTCAGTGGAGATTGTAACTCACCTACAAAATTTGAAGTAATGCGGAACTACATGCACAAAATTCAGTGGCATGACCTGACAATTTCGTACATGGCAAATAAGGAAGATGAATATGTCTACATCATGAGCTTCCTGAAGAAACAAAAAAAATTGTCCTATCTAACTCTATGGATCAGCAACATTGATTACTTAGTAATCCTCAGAAGATGTCTAAGGAAGATCATCATTTCCGATAGCTTCAAGATCTATATTGTACAAGGAGATGGCATCAAAGCATGGTTCGACCAGTGGAAAGTTGAAAACCCCAGGTATTACAAATTCCTCACCTGGAGATGCCGCATCTTTGTCCTATCTGGCAACAGAGAAACCTATGAAAAGAAGATAGAAGTCAGGACACTCTGTGAGACAGGTTAAATCTCTAATTTCACACTTGAATTTCACAAATATTTCAATTTAAGCTAATTTCGCCGGGGTTTTGGGGTTTTGGGGTTTTGGGGTTTTGGGG